ATATTTATTCTTTATTTTTAGTTGTTTTTAGTTATTTTATTTATTTTTATATTTCTTCTTTTCTTTTATTTTATTTTTCTTTAAATAAAAGATCTTCCACTCGACTCTCATCACTTTAAAATTTGTTACAGCTTGATAGTTTTTAGTAAATTTTATTACAATATTAAATTTTTTTTTATTTTTAAAATAAAAAAATTTATATATGATATGTATATATTATATATATATATAATAATGATAATAAGAATGACAATCCTAGTATAATGATTAGGTTGTTATTCTTTAAGTGATAGGTTTAAGGTTCAAATCATATTTATGATAAAATTTGAAAATTATATCTGCATTATGATAACTGTCTTCCATTGATCAGTTGGCCTTATATGACTGTAACCTAGATACACCAAGTTGGATCCTATCAACATTGAAAGCTTAGAGCATCTATGTGAAATATAACATTACATATATATAGAGGAATATATAACCAGTATTACATAAGACTTTGGTGCAAACCTATAATAAGACCACCAAGTATAGAAGACTAAGAAACCAAGATGATGAAAACCTACTTAGAAATTTCTAAATAAAGAAATAGTATGAACTTTTAATGGTACTATTGAACCACTTGAAGCTTACAAAACACCTTTATAGAAACCAAAACTTAAAACTGAACATCAAATATGTGTAGAGGAACATATAACCAACCAGGCCATCAGATTTACTAGAGAAAAAAGATACAGAAATATACTATATTGGGTCATCTGAATTGGTAGTCTGGAATGAGACTGATGGTTCTGAATTGTAGCTAATAGAGGATGATGAAGAAGATGTTAGAAAGATAAGTACTAAGATTCTAGTAAATTTTACAAAAATAGAAATAGTATAATATAATAGTTAAACCAATAACTCCTGTGACTACAAGTATTAGGTAACTATAACATATTGCATAAAACTAGATCTATATGTATGAAACATAAAGACTTTAGTAAGTTTTCTATTAAAGATAAAATAATCTTAAAAGTAATGATAAGTATCAGAAATTTGGATAGGTGCAACCTTGAGATGTTCTCATGATACAAGAAGGATTGCATATGCAGAAGTTTTAAATAGGCAAGACCTCTAGTTGGCTTGCAAGTATAACAATTAATGTAGAACTTATATAGCAATGTGTAAGCAGACTACTTAAATTAGGTATTAAAAATGTATATATGACTAGTTGTAACCTTTAATATAAGAAAGCTCCTGAAGGTTTCTGTTTTCTAATATACTTGAATAAAAACATCACATCTCCCAAGATAGAGACTTTAACTATAAAAAAAAAAAAAAAAAAATTAGATATTAAAAATACACATGTAACTAGTTGTAACCTCCAATGTAAAGTAAGTCCCTGGTGGCATGCTGTGCCCTAATATACTTGAATAAAAATATTGCATCCTCAAGATAGAAACTTTAACTGTAAAAAAAAAATAAAAAAATAATGATAATAAATAGTTAATATATCATTATGATTGGATCACATGATCTGAATTTTTTTTAGGTGGCAATTTAAACCCTGTTACTATTTCACTGACAGCCCATTTCACCAACTAGGTTTTTTTTAAAGTTGCACTAACATTAACTCTAATTCCAACTGACCTTAACGAAACTGATCAGAATTACTTTGTCGGTGAAATGACTGTCGGTGAAATAGGCTGTCGCTTAAGTGATTGTTAACGAAATGAGCACCACCCACTTGAGTCGACTGACTTCATATTAGTCGACTTGAAACGACTATCGACTTAAGTTAAAAATTATCGACTTGAATCGAGTCGTTAGCATCCCTAGTCATGATGAATATTCAAAGGATCCCAGCTCCAATTGCACGAAAACGGAAATGACAGAATACCCATAAATATTTTTCATTATTTTAACAACACCCTCTTGACGAGACAAAATGACTTTACAAAAAATTATATTTGATAAAAATTTAAAATATGAAACAAAAATATATTGATAAATATTGTCAAAATTTTAGATAAACGTTTTTTACAATTTTAAAAATTTTGATGAAGCTAGAATGTTATATATATACATTAAAAAATGAACTATATATCAATTTCGCGGACTAATTCTAACTTTCAACTCTTTACAATTCAAAATACCTCCCATAAAGAGTTTTAATGGCTCATTGAAGTTCACTAACTCAATGTCGTAGTTTTTATATACTAATGCCAATAATAAAAGTAACGCTGTAATTGTCAATCTTCTTCCAGGGCAGAGACGTAAATTTCCACCAAAAATTGGTAAATATTTAGCATCTACTTTTATATCTTCTTCATTATAAAATCTATCTGGATTAAAAACTTCAGGATAAGTCCAAACTTTAGGATGAAAGTTTGCACCTAAAAAATTTAAAAACATCTGAGTGCCAGCAGGCAATTTGTACCCAGCAAGTTCACAATCTTCAGCAAGTTGGCGAGGTGTAAGAACTACTACCGGCATTATACGAAAAGTTTCTTTAATTATAGCTTTACAATATTTTAATTTTGGAAGATCTTCGTCCGATACATAAGACTTATTGGAACCTTTAGGGAAAATAGAGTCAATTTCTAAAAGCATTTTTTGTTTTACATGTGGATTTTTACACAGATAGTATGTTATGAAGCAAAATGCATTCGCAATCTAAAATATAGGTAAGTAGATTTTAAAATAAGTAAATAATAAGAGTATTGAATATTAGTAAAAAGTAGTACTTACAGCATCAGTTCCACCTGAATAAGCATCTAACAAATCACCTCTGATCATATCATCACTCATAGGACCAGTCATAGAATCACTCATAGGTATAGGCATTTCATCATCTAGCATTTCTACATTAGCATCACCCCTTATAGTGTTCGCAATGATTAAAGAAGTTAACATATCAGTTTTCATTTCTGCACCTATAGGCATTTCTTCAATCTCTTTTCTTCTTTTCTTAATCATATTATCCAACGTTTCGAATACACAATCACGGTTTTTTAACATAAAATATGATCTAATTCTATATATTGGAAAGTAATGTCTCAATGTTGGGCCAATATATACAAAGAATAAGAGATCTTTACTAAGTTTTACGATTCTTTTAACAAATCTGTCACCGTCTTCGATTAACGTATTAAGATACTTAGACTTAATAGTACTTTGTGTATTATAATAAGAAGCAATTGAATAAGTGCGTTCTCCAACGGTTAAGATTGAAACAAGATCGTTCATAAATGCATGAAACCATGCAGAAAAATCCATTTCTAGCTTCCATTTATCATTGTTATTATTATTATTTTGGTTTCCGATAGATTGCCAATATTCACTCATTTCTTCATATAATTTATTTGTAGATGTTATGGTCAAGTTCATAAATTTAAGTCCCAATAATGCTCGAGAAAAGAATCGTCTATTATAACTCCAACTCTTATAATCCTCATTAAAAGCGACTCCACGATTGTAAAAACCTAATTCTTCCAACCCTTGCAATTGTGGAGTTTTCACAATAAATGACGTAGGAGATAAAATTTTTTCAATATATTCAGGTCGTGAGAGAATGACATAATTAAGCCCAGCAAGAGATATTTCACAAACATCCCCATATTTCTTTTGACAATTTTCATAGAATAATCTTACATCTGTGAAGTTAAGAAGGTTTCCGATGAATGGTAAAGGTAACGGCCCGGGGAGAGGATTAGGGCGAGTGAAACGCTTGTAATAAAAATTAAAAATGTAAGTCGCAAAAATTAGAATAAAAATGAGGAAATAATCCGTAATGCTAAGAGGGTCAATAATTTTTTGAAACTCCATTATATTTGATATACAATGTATTTGTATTGGAAAATGTACTGCAAAATACTATCACTCATTATATATCTTAGGCCCGGTCACGTCCGGTTATTTTAAAAATCTGCCAGTCGTGTCACAAGTGCGACCGATAAGACATCAGATGACCGAAACAGGAAAGATGAACAATCTGTTTACGTTAACCATTGTTTATTATTAGTCATAGCTTAATAGTCATAGCCTTCACGAATGTATAAATAGTAGTTTTACCTTTCTCTACTTTAGAATTTTACCTTACAACTCACAATAGTTTAGAATTTTCATCAAAAGAATTTTTGTTACAAAATAATAATTTTGTATTGAACACATTAATTTTTAAATCAATAGTTAAAACCTTACTTTTTTTTACATTAGATATTTTTGTCTATAGCAAAAATAGAGTTTAAAAATTCTATTTAAATTCAATGTAATTATATATAATTTAATTTTAGAAAGAACAAAAGATAAGATATCTAACATTTAACTTTAAAGCATTTAATATATAGCTTAAATATTTCAAAGACAAATAAATATAAGGTACTTACTAAAAAATAATCTTGAAAATAGAAATTAAATCCCAGATAGTGTTTAATATAAAACAATCTGAGTTTAGCAAGAAGCTTAAGGCATCCAATAACAAAACAATAACCTTGATAGTACTCAACACATAGTACATAATCAAAAGCTAATAAAGACATCTTTTAATAAAAAAATATAAACAAAAATGTATATATAACAAAAAAAATAAAATCTATTTATATATATATTAATAAGATTAAGAAGATAATAACTATTAATATTGGTTGGAATTAGATACCTGTAACCTGTGTTATACCAGCATGATTGGAAGATCTAGGCACTTATATAACATTATATAAAGAAATACAAACTAGTATCAAGCAATATGAACTTAAGATAAGTTCTAAGTTATGTAAATCACAAGAACCAGGTAGGAAGATGGAAGTTTACTTATAAAACCTAAATAAAGAAGTAACCTGAACTTTTAATAATGTTATTATAAAGATTAGACTTATAAAATAAGTTAGAACTTGTAAAATTAGGCAAATATATTAGTCTTTAAGAAGAGATTGAATAAATTAATTAGGTTATCAGAATTTTTAAATTTCAGAAAAAAAGAATATATGTCAACAAATATATAAACCAGAGGTATGGTTATAGTCTATTTTTTTGGGCTATCTGAAATAATAACTTGGTAAAACTTGAATTAAATATCAAAGTAGTAGTGATATGTTGTAAAGTCAGTATTAGGGTTGAGGTGAACTCTACAAGGACATAGTAGTTTAATGATATGTCCTGACTACTAGTGTTAGTCTCAGCTATAATAATATCAAGTTAGTTATAAGAATAGGATACAGAAGATTTTGAAAGATTTAGTATAAGATCAAAGGTTCTAAAGAACTGTTTTAAAGACTTAGCAATCATGACATATTTTTACTAACATTAATTAGAATTATTGGTAAGCAAAGATAGGTAGATAGATATGAAAACTAGAATAGTTAAGTAGAAAACCTATAAGCAGATTTCAGGTATGGCAGTTAGTATAGAACCTTTAAGCAGACTACTTAAATTAGACAATAACTAAAGTTATATAAATAACTAATTGTATACTTTTTTTATGATTATCTTCTGTGGTTGTAATGCAACTATTAGCTAAATAAACTATCAATAAAATTCTAAATCACAAGTACTTATCTTAATATTTAAAAAAAATAATATAGTCAAACCTCCATATATGCACCCTCTATAAATGCACACTTTCTATAAATAAACTCTTAAATTCGGTCCCAAGATTGTATTATAATGTTAAATGCACATTCTTTATATTCTACACATGCATCAACTTTTTTAATTTAATATATATAAATAACCTTTATATATGCATATCATGTGATGCTTATCCAATAAGAATAAAAGATTTATATATGTTGATGATTGGTCAACAATTCAAAAAACCAGGCTAAACAATATGTAATTACACTCAAAATTACATGCTTTTTATGTACAAACTATCATGCCTCAGAAATGTTATACAATGAATCAATGTACTGACACTACAACATAAGCCTTCACTTCGACATAGTACAGGAACAAGCCATCTAAACATCTGTCATAAATACCAAACTCCAGCTTCATCAAACTCTATTCTGCAAATTTTTAAAAATTCTTGTCCTACCCAATCTCTCTACAAACACAAAACATGTGAGAAATGAGTTCCTGATTTTGCTATTCTAACAGCTGGCTTGCTGTGGCAGGTGGAAACTACCAGCTGAATAATTAAGCAAATATTATTTATTTAATCACTATCTGGGCTGTTACTGTGATCTCCAGTGCAATTATTATTGCTAACTCTTTGGAAAATCAATGTTTTAGTTCCTATTATTACTCTCTATACTGTTTATTTTGTATATATAATTATCAAATATAATAAAAAATTAATTCTGGCTCTTACCTCAGCCAGTCTAATCCTATATGCCTCACAAATATGTCAATGTTTTTTGTAAATATGAACACATAATGTGCAAAACTTATAATTTTTGATTCTCTTAGGCCTACTTTTTAATTATTGTCTAAAGCATAGCAGAGGATACTTTGTTTTTATGCCTAACTTTAATCAACACTGTTATGTGCATTCTGTCTGTTCGCTTCTGCATCTTTGATTGTCTGTCAATCATGAGTTTATGATCCAATAGATATAGTTTTAAACAAATTTATATTTAGCTTCAGACACACAATGCTATGTATTTCTTAGTTTTACAAGCAAATAAATGTTTTTTAGTACAAATAATGTATTTAAAATATTTATCACTCGAATAGTGTTTTATTAAAAAAAAATTGCACTGGTAAAAAATAAAAAATTCAATGTGTTAAATGGCACTATTCGAATGCTATTTAACATATCAAATTTTTTATTTTCTATCAGTGCTGTTTTATATATTTTTTTTAAAAAAAAATTGTCATGTGCATTTTTTTTTTTAAAAAAAAAAAATTGTTGCATGCATTTTTATTTATTTAATTTATTTTTTTTTTTAAAAAAAAAATAGAAGAAACTGTTAATGTTGCTCAACTAATCCAACAGGTAAAGAATTATATCTATAACATTGACTATTGACTAATTCAATATTGTAAAATAATTTTTTATGAACTATGCATTGGGTAAGGATTAGTTATGCAATATTGATGGTTTCTTCTGTTAAAAAAAAAAAAAAAGCTTGTTGCATGAATATCAGTTTAAAAATATGCTCATTGTACATAAAAGTCTATTAACAAACATATTTTTTTTAAGTAAAATAAATACATTATTATAAAAAAAAAAAAACCAATTACATATGTATATTCTTACATACCTACCATAAATATACATATGTATAGTTTTATTTACTAGTTCCTTGGTAGTAATAACCTTGTAAGTTAATTATGTGTCAAACTAAAAGTAGAATGTGATTACCAAGCCCTTGGTTTTTTTTATACTGGGCATTTGTTTGCATTACATTAAGAATTGGCAAAATTGCTTTTCTAATTAAAGTTTAATTTTTAACTTTCAATATAGCTTTTTCATAATGTTGCAAAGAATCTCTTTTACAGATGCTCAAAAATATGAGCTTTGTCTATATGCTCATGATAACAAGGAGACTTAGTCAAAATATATAAAATGGATTAATGATAAATGAAAAGTTAAAATTAGTGAATCTACTATTATCTGAGTTCTTCAATCTAAAGAGAAACAGCTTTCTAATAAAGTAATAAATCTAGAAGCCAAACATCACAAACCTGTTACTTTTCCAGAACTTAAGCTTGCACTCAAAGAATTTATATTAATTTATTAAAATTGAACCATTTTGAGTGATGTCTTGATTATTGAAAAGGCTAAATTGCTAGTAGGTAAATTAAAAATTCCTAAAGATAGGTTACAATTTTCTCAAGGATGGCTTCAAAAATTTAAGGAAAGAAATGGAATTCATCAAAGAATTCTTCATAATGAAGAAGCATCTGCTGATCAAAATGCTATCATTGAGTCTTTGCTATTACTACAAGATATATATGAAAGATATCCTTTTAATAAAATATATAACATAGATGAAACTAGTCTATTTTATCAGTATTCTTTTTTGTTATAAATTTTTTTTTTTTTTTAAAAAAAAAAATCTAATTATTATATATTATAGGTTGGAGCCAGATCAAACCTTAGTATCACAACACCTTGCAGAACATAAAAAGAATAAGGAGCATATTTCTATAGCATTATGTTCAAATGTTGATGGGTCTCATAAAGTGAACTCACTTATTATTGGCAAGTATGCCAACTCCCAGTGCTTTAAAAACATGAAAATTAAAAATTTGCCTATAATATATCAAAGTAATGCCAAGGCATAAATGCTCTTGGTTCTTTTTTAAGAGTGGTTTCTTGATTTTGATCTTCAAGTTTTATGAAAGCATAATGGCCAACACATTCTTTTATTACTTGATAATTGTAGCAGCTATGATATTGCTAATTTAGCTCTTAAATGCATAGATGTTCATTTTCTTTTTCTGCATACTACTTTAAAAATCCAACCTATAGATGCAAGAATAATCATAACTTTTAAAAAGGCTTATCAATGCTATCATCTTTAGTTAGTTATTTTAATCTATAATTATTAGTAATTTTGTTATTTGAGTAACACAAAGCTAAAACCTGCAAATTTTATAAAATTTGCAAGTTTTAGCTATATGACGCTTATTTATACTTTATTTCTATTTTTTTTTCTATTTTTTATATTAATTTAGGTGGTTATTAAATCAAGTTGAAGCAAGATATTTAATTCAAGACTTAAAGATAAATATTCTTCAAGCAATTCAATTTGCAATTAAAGGGTGAGAAGAAGTCTTTGCTAAAACTATTTGCAATTGCTGGCATTATACAAAAATTCTTCTGATTGATGCTGATATTGAAATCCAGAATTTTTCTAATAATATTTGTAGAACCAACAATTCAGAGTTAGATAGGCTTATTAATGTGCTTAGTTTGCATTACCTTCTTAATGCAATAAAGACTGACGAATTCCTTATACTCAATAATAAGAATATCATTTATGAAGTTTCTCCAGATGACCAAATTATCAAAAAGCTTGCTTATACATTTAAAAAGAATGATAGTGTTGAATCTGCTAATAAAAACATACTGAAATAGATAATGAAGATGATAGCATTAAGACTATAACTGTTAGTAGTAGTTCAGCATTAAATAATTTAGAAAATATTTGTATGTTTTCACTTCACCAAGAGAGTTCAGGCGAGAAATTTAAATTAGTCAATTCTTTGAAAAAATTTGTTAGAAGCAAAATTGTAAGTTCAGCTTAACAGACTCATATAAATAAATATTTCAAATAAAGAATCATGTAGCATTCCAATGAAGTATAATCATCAGTAATAATGATAATAAAGCACAATTAAAGCATACTCATTAATAAATAATTAATAAGGTTAGATTTCTTTTTACAAAAGTGAAGATAGCTTTCTGTGAATTATATAATAGGCAAACAAAGTAGTATTAACATAATCATAACTTAAATATTATAACAATATACAATACTGCAATTTACTGTTAAAATAAAGCAGACTACATTCAGGTTAATTCTAATAAATTATAACTTTAAAGCTTAATACAATACAGTATCTTGTGTTTTTTTTAGCAATTCTCAAATAATAAACTATAAGTTTATATAATATCTACAACTTATATATATAAAGCATATTTTAAATTATCTTAGTAATTGTTAATAGCTAAAGGCTGTTATAATTCTTTGAAATAATTCATCTGCATCATTAGTTGTGATACAAAATTTGTTAGTTCTCAAAACCCAGTAGGATCAAATTTGGAAACTTTTTTTTTTTTAAAAAAAACTAATATTTATTATAAAGTTCCAATGAATACTTTTTTTATATACTAGATTTTTTTAATAAGAACATAAGTTAGGTTAAGTATAAATTGAATATGAATATGTTATTTAATCAGTAATAATGTGATTTAGTAAAAGGTAGTAAACTTTAAAATTATAGTACTGTATTACTGACAAACTTATATGACTATAAAAATATTTCTTTTTACAATATTATTATGTTCATTCAAATTAAAACTCAATTGAATAACTATCTACAGATCAGAATCATAAATTCAGTTAGGCATATTACCAAAAATGGGCAATGTAGATCAGACTTTTTATGATATAGAAACACAGATCAATTAATTCTTTTTGCTTTGATTATACAAATTAGAAGCTGAGTTATATACTAATTAGCAAAATAAATTGTAAATTTTGAGCAGAAAAGAATAGTAAAACTTATAAATTTTTTTGAGTCTTTATATATATTGAAATAAAGGATTGATCCTAATAAGATCAATGTTAATTATAAAACTTTGAATGTTCAACTTCATATATATAAAATTATTTGTTATAGTTACTTATTATGAAAAACTACAAAATTTAACTGAATTTAGCGAAAAGCAGCCAATCAAATTTTAATGAAACGATCTAGAATCGGTTTTTATTTTTGATAATATGCCTAACTGAAATTGCCAGATAATATCAATATTAGAACATGTAATGATATTAATTGTTGCATAACCAATATCTTATATTTATCTGATATTTCATATAATCAGTTTTGCAAAAGGATGTTCTTAAACTATACTTAGGATATTGGCTCTTAATCTATAACCACTAAATAAATAAACTAAATTTAAAATAGCTATTATGTGCTAACTAAATTAAAAAACATAATAAAGGCTAGAACTGTTCTTTGCAAAATATTACAGAAAAAACTTTATATGATTATATTAACTATCAGATAATATCAATATTGTGTATACATATAACAAATGACAGGAAATTTTTTTATCAAAGTTAATCAATTTCACTCATATGCTGCTACACAACACATAGAGTAACATTAACTCTAACAAAAAAAATTTTTCTGTTATTTTTTATTATCTGCCTAATATCTTATATATATAAGACATTTGGGTCTAATAATGATTTGTTTTATCATGTGATATAATTTGTGTAATCTTTTCTAAATGCACACTTTCTATAAATGCATGTTTATAGCTAGTCCCAAGAAGGTGCATATATGGAGGTTTGACTATAATTATATTATATGATTATTATAACAATTGTTAATAAAATCATAATGTAACAATACAAATTTTATGACAAACTTTGATTTTAATTATTTTGGCTTTTAGTAATTAAAATTGAATGATTTTTTTATTTTAAAGTATTTTATTCTATCTATAAAATAAAAAAAATTAAAGTCTGTTATTAGTTATTGAGATAATTATAAAATATGATAACTAATAAAAATTGACATATTATAATAGATTATTTAAATTATCTTTGTAACTAATAATTAAATTTTAATAATTTTTTTTTATTTTATAGAAAAAATATATGCCTATTAAACAAAAAAAATTATTTATTTTAGACTAATAATTATTGAGAAAATTAATATTTAAATATAAAATTTTTGTTTTTATTAATATTCTTATTAACTAATAATTAAAATTAAGTAAAATTTATATTATTTTATAAAGAATAACTTTTTTATAATATTTTAAAATTTTATTAAATTTGAACTAATAGTTATTGAAATATTTATAAAAAAATATAAATACTTATATTATCTATTCAAATTCTAAAGATAAAATTAAATAACTTGTTAATTATGCAAGTATATAATCTAAAACTAATATGACATAATTATTAAAGAATAAAAATTAATATAGAATCATTAAGGATATAAATTAATTAGTAAGTTTTTATATTATAAGTTAAGTACTTAGATATAGAAAAGTTTTGGCACTCTTCTGTATGACATATGCTATAACTATATTGATTTGTTAAATTAATTTTATTATCAACTATAATATAAAACAAGATAAAAACTTCTAGTTTCTTTAATAATCTATTATATTTTATAAAAAAAATAATCTACTAATAGCAAATAAATCATCAGTTAAAAAATTTTACTGGCCAATCAGATTGCAAGATCTTGTATAATACAAAAAAGCACAAAAAAATCAAACTAACAATTAAGTATTTATAGACAAAATTTTGTTTATGAAAGTATCTTCTATATACTAATAAAAAAATTTTCTTATAAAATTTTACTATAGTTATAATTTTTTAAACCAAACATTAACCTACTAATAGCTAAACTAATTGCAAACCAATTTTTTTAATAAGATTATATAGTCAGTAAAATTTTTTAAGATGGTAATGTTAGACTTATATAATCTACCTGAACTTATAAAAAAAACTTTAATTAATTATATACTAATTTATTCAAATTGATTAGAAACATTATACAAAACAATATTTTAAATAAATACAAACTTAAATAATTGAGTTTGGTTATATAATTAGTGTTATATAATTACATAATTAGAAGTATTAAAAAATGCAAATTATTAACTCTTCCTAACAATTACTTGTACCAAATTTTCTCTAAACATAATTACTTTTTCTTAATTTTTTATTAAATAAACCTACTTTGGCTGTCTAAATAAAATTGTTTCTAACAGAATTTTACATATAGGTGGCCCAGTTTTATATTCTTAAAGATATTTACTACTAGAATATAATTAAAGTTTGTAATTTTCTTCTTTTTATAAAAACTTAAAAATTTATTAAATAAATCATAGTTGTTATATAAAACAAATTTGTTTAGTTCATTCTTGCCATCATTTTAATATATTATACACTATAAATAGTTTAAAATTGACAATTATATAATAAAAATACTTCAAAACTCTCTTAGAAACTATATTTTACTTTTGCAAAAAAATTTTCTATTTTTTTAGGATGATTCTGATTCTCTAGAATGCTTCAGACCTGCAGATCTAAATTACTAATTAATATTATTAATCTATTTATATAAATCTAACTTTGTTTTATCTATTTTTA